ACACCTCCGGGCAAACACTCTTCCTCCTTTTAGCAACATCACAAGTTCAAGTCTGGAAAGGACAGCGATTAGTGTTTTAAAACTCTGCTAATAAAACTAAGGGAAAGCAATCTGTACATAGGAGTTTATTTAGATGCCCACAAGTTTTAAATCATTCCCCTTTATATCTCAGCCCACTGGATATCTCATCCAACTGAATTACCATTGGGTTTTACAATGTGATATACAAAATGAGCTGACATTATGATTTACAAACATCCTTTGAATATCATATAAAACACAACCGTTTCCCGTATTATACAATCATTAGGGCAATGCAAATATAGTCAATACATTAGTAGCTGAAAATGATGGGGCATTTTAAGAAAATAAATTTAACTTTACCACACAAACCTGTTAGATAAAACAAATCCTGTTTTAAAAAAAAAATGGGAATAAAGTTGTCTGAATGATTGCAAGTAATTTTTATGTTGTTTTGCCACTGTCCCCTTATAAGAAACATAATAGTACTTCATTTCAAAGACAACTATTATTTTTCACTGTATAGTCACACTTCATTCTTATTAATCAGTTTTACATTTTCTGCATGAAACTATGACAAACTCACAAATGTAGACTTTCCAAACTGTAGCCACTATACTTATTTCTGCACTCTTTTCCATATACTCGGTGTGTTTAATTAAATCAACAAAAAGCCAAAACCACTACACAAATGAGCAGAACAAAACACAACAGCACGTTAAAAAGGTGACATTTAAGTTGTAGATGCCATCATCATAGAAATACATTTTTGTTCTAATGCCACAAACTTTCTAGCCTCATGAAAAAAATAGACATTAGCCAAAGAGAATCTAAACTCTAACCTCAATGTAGGGCTAAGAGCTTTAATTTGTATTTCTGTCTAAACTGAGGTACTAAACAACACTGTGTGAGTGGTAAATTTAAAACTCAATTTTTCTGAATGCTATAAAATATGAAAAGAGAAAAATCTGTTTCTGAGCTGTTAATTGGGTAATGAAAGTTACCAAGTGTTAAGGTCTCCTGTCCCTCATGTCGCTGGTACAGGTGCTTCTGCACTTTGTCATTATCGTGGCAATAACTGAGAATGGCAGACATCATTATTACTGTAAATACAAAAAAGGAAAAATTCTGAACTCATCAATGATGTTGTAATTCAAAGCAAATTCTAACCTATTCAATTTAAATTATATCATCTTAAGGCTCTCTGACCGTTTTATCGCTGCACAATCCAGAGGGATTACACCCTTTTCCAGCACTTGCAGTTTCTCTTGCAAAACAGAATACTGATAATGACTGGTGATTCTTTCCTGAATATGGTGTTGAATTGGCGGTGGAATGTGGTTTTAGTTCCATTTCTTACTATAGGAGTCTTGCTGCTGCTCCGCATGTTTGGAGAAGAAAGTGCTTTTTTTTTTTTTTTTTTTTTTTTTTCCCTTTCATTAAGTTCCCACCCTTTAATTTTATAAATTTTTAAGACAGACTTATTTTGATTACTTCCGTTCTGTCCAATCAAATATACCTTTGAACGCTTTAAAATGTTGGACAGCTGTGAAATATAAGTACTATGCAATTTGACTGTACATACATACATATTTTCATAAATACATCTGACAGGGACCTTGGAACTAAGTATGTGATATCATGGGACAAAATCACAACAGGCTGTCTTATTTGTAAAATCTAGATCCAAAGGAAGAAGAGCTGAATTCTATCATGTGGTCAATACACAAATTAAAACAAAAATACAGCATTAGTTTACCCATGAAATAATTTAAACATATTTGCAAATGTCTTGACAGGAAAAGTGTGTAATTTACAACACTGAAAACTTTTAACAACCATTGACTTTATATGCGCTGTACTGTAAGTCACCCAGACAAGGCTAGCAAGGATGAGCATAGTGATAGGTCCCAAAGGCAACTCCCAAACATCTTCCTCGTGCGGAGACTTTGGTAATTGTCTGTTGTATAAAATGCCAACGCATACGACTTCATTTCAGGTGTTAACTTCATCAGTTTTCCTCCCCCGGCACAGTCCAGTCTGACTACGTCAGTTATTGTTGAGACACTCTAAATCCACCGAGCAGCAGACGTTCCCATTCTGCACAGACAAACAAGCAGGTGTCAATCACCTCCGCGGAACAAGTTACAAAGAGCAAAGGGGTTGGTGGCACGCAGAGACAGATGCATCTCTGACACATTGACCGCATACAAAAATCTGCTTAAGCCATCATCCCAAGGTGTCCTCATCGGTCCCAACTGTGGTGGCTTGTTGAAGAGGTTGGCTTTGCCAAATAGCACTGAACTGGCCTGAACTACACATGAACTACAAACCTGGACGTGAAAGACTCAGTGGTCCCCATAATAAAATACAGCACAGCAATGGCAACAAAGATGATTTGATTTGTTTTCTCCCATGCAATAAAGTTAATGGAGAGAGTTTTGATGTGATCCATGCAGGGAAGCTGGCTGTTTCACTGAAATAACCAGAGCGTTCAGATTCTTGAATCATGGCAGATACGTATGGGGGGGGCGGGGGGAAGGGGAACCATACTGCTTTGGAGTTTAATCCACTGTTAAATATCTTTCTGCAACATCCAATCATTTACGAAACTATCCTATGTAATAAAAAAAACCCTACAGGAACTACCAAAATCCCAAATAAGCAATTTTTTTTTTCCTTTTCTTTAAATCCAACACAAACCAAAACCAATAGGAAAAACTCTGAAGAATGGCAGAAAAGCCACCTTTAATAATTTAAAGCCCCGGAGCAACAGCTTGGTTTCCCACAGTGAACAGAAGAACATTTTATATAACCAAACCAACATTTTCATAATTCTGATATTAGCGCAGTGGGGTCATCGCTGCACGGAGCAAGGAGACAGACTGCACTTCTGCATTAGAGCCATCAGATTAAACGCATCTTGATGAGATCAGGGAACAGAAACTGTGACATTCCCTTCCCACTTCTGTTGTGGGAGTGCCTTCATCTCTGACCTGAAATGTGTTTCTACTTGCATACTTGCTGGTGAAACTTTTATTACTGTTTTTGCCTCTGCTTACTAGCTCTGTAAAACACATTTTCATGAACATCCACATTAGGTAATCATTAACGTATTAGCCTAGATTCACACTGAAAATGCCTGAAGAGCTCTCCAACAGAAAGTTGCACTAGGATATTACATATCTGCGCTCAACATTTTCGACAGGCACAGAATTGTTTTGTTTCCACCCTTTAAAGCACAAAAGGTGTGGGTTTTCTGTAGGCTTCTGCCCTCAGGTCTCATTTACTTCCCCGAGATCTGAATATGAGCTTCCAAGGGCAGAAAGCAACCTTGATTTTATGCAGCATCATACATTGCCATTACCGTTCTACCTTGCCCATCGTACCTTGCATTTGCAGGTTGTACAAGGAGATCCCACCATTGTCCATACAGCGCCGCTAAGTCTTGTAATTCCATAACCATCTAGACAGGTTTTCCTGATGTCGTAGGTGATGTTGTCAGCCAGACAGGGGTCACTGACACAGTGGGGACAGCACTCTCCTTCAGAGATGGCCGTGTACTCGCAGTTTAGATTTGGGCACAGAAGGGGCCAACAATCCACCTCTCCTTCCTGTAAAAATTGAAATAAAACTCATTTATTAGCTACCAAGAAACTTTGCATCCTGTTGAGTGGAAAAGTTTTATTTTGCCAAAATTGGAACAAGCTTAATGGATCAGGTCTCACTTTGGTTGATCATATAAATGCATGTTTGAATACTGAGCCAAAGTCTCCTAAATGCAGCAGAATATCATCCGGTTGTTTCTTGACTAAACACCACCACTGCCGTCATCGTTAGAGCAGAACTCGAGTTCGTTCGAGTTTTTAAAGGCAGCATTAAATACTGGGTTCCAATATTTTCCATAATTAACTATAATTTTTGCAGCAATCGCCTTGCAGACTCATGCCCTATTTCTATGTCTGATCACACAAACATCTCTGTGGGATCACAGCAGCTGTTTAAACAGAAAATTAACGCCACAGACAGACCTAGGTTAGTATTGTTGTGGTTTAGACCCAGCCGGCAGCTAAGTACCATGCAGCCACTCACTCCCTCCCCCCTTTTCCCAATGGGATGGGGAGGAGAATGGGATGAAAAAGGTAAAACTCATGGGTTAGGTTAAGAGTCCTCTCCTGTCCTCTCCCTTTGCTGTCCTAGTGAACTAACAATACTAATAAAAGAATATACAAAGCAGATGACACATAATGCAATTTGCTCACCACCCAGGAACTCTACGCAGCCCCTCGTCCCCGGCTGACATCATATACTGAGCATGACATCATATGGTACGGAATACCCCTTTGGCTAGTTTGGGTCAGCTGTCCTGGCTGTGTTCCCTCCCAGCTTCTTGTGAAAATTAACTCTAGCCCAGTCAAAACCCAAGACAGAATGTTTGAGAAGCATTGAACTTCAATCTAACTAGCAGCAGCCAAAATTGATTTTACTGTCAACTCCTAAAGGAATTGTTAGAGCACTACCAGTTATGTTCCACGGAGTCATTTTATTTTATTATTTAACTTTGTGATAAAATCAGTTTAGATAGAAACATGGAGAAGAGAGAATCACCAGGTCACTTCTGTAGAGTATTGCTGCAGGATCCACGTGTCTAAACTTAACCTGCAAAGGGCTCCAATAACTTGCATTATGCTACTCTGTAAGCACTTCAGGTGCTGATAACCTCACACACTGCACAGAACCTTATATGCAGCACTCATTTAGTGCATCATCGTCTTTTAGCTCTGTATGTTTATTAACCCAATTGTAAAATTAGGCAAAGAACTGCTGACCGCAGACTCAGTATCCCTTGTAAAACATGTCTCATCCAGTATTTGCCGTTGCTGGTGGTTATAAATGTTTCTTGCTGTTCTTTTGCAAACATTTAAAAAGAAAAAAAAACCAAAAACCACCACCTTGGGAGAATATAAAATACAATATTTACTGCTGTACATTATGGATAATTCTCTCTTAAATAGTAACTTAGCTTCGCATGTAATTTGTTTCCTGATGTTCAGACACCTCTTGATTAATATCATATATAAAGACAATGTTATACAGACAGCTATAAATGGAAACCTAATAATTTTAATGAAGTTCATCGCTGCACTAATTAGTATATCTGTGCAAAAAAAAATTAAAGCTTTAGGGAAATAATCTACAGTGCCTGATGAGAAATGTTCTTTGTTTTGCATGTTTGTCTAGTAATTTCAGGTTTTATCCTTCTTTTTTTTTGGTTAATTTTTGCTAATTCACCACAGGGCACCAGCACACCATTTTTCCAGCATTTGCTGAATGAAAAAAAAAAGAATTGCATTGTCCATTTGGATAAGACAGGTACACCAGCTGATGTAATTAAAAGCTGAAACTCCTCCAACCATGTGAAATTTTTTTTTAAAGTCATTTAAAGATCAGATGACCTTATAAAAGTTCTCCAAAGTAGACTAATGCTAAAGTTAATATAGTGTCAAGGTTTCCAAGCTTTTGTCAAGCTTTTCATTTCGTTCATTAGACCTACTTAGTCAGCAGTAAGAGGAAAACTGATGGTGTAGCGTTCAGTTCTCTGGTGCTCTGTAAGTGCTTTATCATCATTCCTAGTCTGAAAAGCAGGTGAAGAAAGAGCCAAGAGCCTGCTTCCAGATATGCTTTGCTAAAAATCACAATCCTTATTATTCTTGCTCCCTTCCGAAACGCTTTACCCATACCAGGCAACGGCACTGCTGACAGCTGTAGGTCCAGTTGTCCCCACTGTGGTAGAGCTTGTGCCCAGTTTGGTCGAGGCACTGGCTGGTGACACGGGTGTCGCACTCCGGGCAGCAGAAGAGATCAGCGCTGGGGTTCCCGCAGTCGCAGGCTGTCCTCCGGCAGAAAATCCTCCCGTCCTGCGATGACACATTGCCCTGACGTCAACCACAAACTGCCAGACAGCAGCCCGGATAAGGTCACAGGGGGGGTGTGTGTGTGTGTATATATATATCTATATATCTACATATAGATATATCAAAGGGCACGTCTTTGGCATATCAGGAAACACTAACTTCTTAATGTATTCGATGTTACTGCCAACAAGGACTGGATCCTGCCGGTTGTATTACCTCAAATACCAGTATTGCCCCCATTTCTATCAGTGCATGGATCCAATACTGTCTGAATCAGAGAATACTGTTTTCCTGTCTCCAGCTAATTGAATTTAAAAGAAATCAGTACCTCAGAAGAAATATAGTGAAGCAATTTCATATCGCATGGGTTACATCAATGAACTCCTCAAGCAGTTGCCACTCGAATACATATAATATTTGTTTAGCAGTATTTTAACTGACTGTATCACTGTAAAGAAAATAACTTGAATAAATAAATTGAAGTTACGAAGGTGATCCCTTTAACTTCATAGGAGCACTATATAGCAAAATCACAGTAGCACTACTGGTTCTGTTCCACATCTGCACCTACAGTACACCAGCTTAAAGCCTAATGGACTTATCATCCATCATAATTCAGTTCATGTATTAAAGAGGGCCTGTATTCCACAGGCTCTCCAAAATATGATTTTGCTAAATATTTGCTTGCAGTATTGGATGGCCCATTTTGTTAAAGAGCATTAAACAGAAATGTTTGAGATAAACAGAAGAATTGCTTCTGCATGTAAAGAGAAAAGGATATATTCTCTTTGCATCACAGGAAAACAAATTGGCACTAATTCCAGTTATGAAAATTGGACAGACGATCGTGTTTGAAATTATAGCCCTTACTGTAAGCGAGCCAACTTACTGATATGCCACAAGTAGGCTGGGAACTGAAATCACGGTTAATAATGAGGAGATTAGTGAAAAGTTTTGACGTGAACTTCTTTTGCATTCAATGCTAGTTATTGGATTCTTCCTTATTCAAGCCAAGCATCCCCTGCAGCCAGTTTGAAGGCAGAGCTGTGAGAGGAATGAAGCTATGTTCTGCTTTGGATCACAACTCTACAACTACTCCACTTCTTTCATTGCAGTTTTTTCCTATTCTCCTCAGAACCTTGTTGTGAGTCTATAAACCTGTATCTGATGTAAGAAGGAAAAGTTTTTTTCATTGCCACCAAATAAAGGGATACCTATCAAAGCAAGGGAATGTATTTCCTCTTGATCTTTTTAAAAAGCGATTACTGAAAACAGCGATGGCTTCCCGGGACATTTTTTCCACAGGCAGACAAAATAGCCATAGCCACAGCATCTAGCATGGGAGGTTGTTTTGTTTGTATTTTGATGTAGGAATCTGTGTTTGGCTCTTGTTTTTAAGCAAAGCCAGTCTTGGCCACAATGCAACATGTACAAAAGCAGCATGAGGGAATCACAATATTCACGTCAGTCAGCGTCGCTGATGCATTTCATCATAGTTTTGAATTGATTAGAATATGACTTTCTGTTGTAAGAATAATTAAAATGATTTCTTATGCCTAACAAGGGAAGCTGAAGAGAGCACAGAATTCTGGAAATGTAGAACACATGCTAGGTTAACATGGATCTGAACCACAGGGCAAAGGACTAGATTGCCCTACAGTCTTTATTCAGCTTTGTATCAAATTAAGAGAACTAAAGATTCTCTACTTGTGGCTAGTTTGCTGCTTTAGCTGTGGGAGAAGGAATAAACAAGCTTTACTTCCTTAGTCCGCAATTTGAGTGAATCGTAAGGTAAGGAAGACTGGCAGTAGCCCGTTTCCTTAGCCACAGGTCCAGCCAAGGTCCAGATGCAGTGCTGGGAATAATCCCTTTCCACAGAAATCGAAGAAAAAACCTCATCCTCCCCTTTCAGCAAATGGTGAAAAAAGAGCACTGAAAGCCTTCCCTGATGAGACTTATGACTAAATCTCCATTCTTGCAGGTGGGAAAGCACAGCCATCATCCACCCCTTGCTGAGGGTAGACACGAAGCGGCAGCTGAGCACAAAAGCTCTGCCAGGCTGACTAGCTCCAGGCACGTGGGGTTGCGCCAGGCGTCCAGGCAACCCAACGCCCTTGACAGAGGCAGTCTCTCTCCTCTCCATAATGCAGTGCTGATTAATAATGGCTAACAATAACCTGTCTGCTTAGTTCCGATTCAGTTTCCAAGCTTTCAAGATTAGTTTTCAAATTCCCCTTTCAGCTGGCGACAGTGCTGGTAGGTCTGTGCTTCTCTGAGCTCCCGTGCTGTTACCTCTGGGGAGCCGCTAACCTTTTATGTTGCCTTTACTCTCCGTATTTCAGAACACTGACAAAGCCTGACGATTTTGCCAGAGACCTTTTGGTAATCATAATACACTGCTACTCTCTTTAGTCTTTAAGCATCCGTGGTTTATCTACAACCTCATTAGTTCCACGCCTTTCAAAAAACATTTTTATCCCTATACTGCAGTGACACAAATCCTCTTAAGCTACATCATCTCACTTGCATCTTTGCAGCTCTATAGTAGCATTGAGAAATATATAGAAAATTGAAAAACACATAGAAAGCAACTTTCTTTCTTTCAGTGAGTAATAGCATATAGCATCTTATTAGCATCTCTTCCTCCCCGCCTTCCTCACTGAGTCAGTTCCACATGCTTCCTAAGCATCAGTGGTATGAACACAGTAGTGTTCTTACCAAAGGAAAAACTGACACACAAGGGAATCGCTGTGAAGGGCGACTCAAGTTTCCACAGAGCCCCAAAGCCACTTTGGACACAAATCAGACCCTGCAGAAACCAAACCACCAAACCATTCTCACCATCAGGAACACGCTTCACCTTGGCCCATCCCTCTGTTCCCAGCGCTGTGCTTATCCCCCAGGCTTTTTCATACAGGGAATGGAGGTTGTCCTAATTAGAGGGCAGACTCAAAAGCCCAGATCTAGCCAGACTTAGTTTTTGCATGGGAGAGAGAAACAACCCCCCACCCCCCATCAAATTTCTACTAGTCTTGTGTATCAAATCCACAAGAGTTCAGGAAGGTGCCTGTAGAAGACACATCAAATATACTTAAGGTACTGTTAATTTATAGTGTTGAGAATTTGTTTTTGTAAACTTCATATTTACTCAGATGAACAAGGATGGTTTGAAGAGACTGGGTCTGAAGAAACTGAAATAATGTGCTTCAATAATGACACTTTGCTTCATTGCATAACTGAAGCAATGTAATTTCTCATATTCCATAGTATCCTACTCCACAAATAACCTTACTTGATGAACTTCAAAATTAAGTAAGGTATTTAATTTGTTTTGCACCAGGTTTTAAGTTAAAGTATTTTCAAGATGGGATCTATGCGTTTCAGCCACTGCACAGAATACATCCATCTGGCCTTTCCTAAAATAACCATAACAAAAGAAAACCCAAAAGAAAACATATTATTTTAAATCTGAAATGCTGATTTGTCTCCTAGATAAAACAAGCGAGTAGGATAATTTCAAAGTTTGAATAAGAAGTACAAGGAATGATTTAGTTACACTGCCCTTTTCTCACTGAAAATTGAGCAGGCTGCAAAAAGGTCAAGCAGGGCCAGTTCCCTGTGCGACTGCATGAAAAGGATGGAGTCCTGCAGCAGGCTGGAGTAGTCGTCTGGTGTATCAGAAACTATCACAATTTATAAAATACATTTCAGTAACATATTTCAATAAATGCTGACTTTACGTCCTGCCTGGGATATGATTGAGGAGGAGCTCTCCCTGTTTTCCTTGCTCTATAGACAAGAATTTGGATCTTGAAACAAGGCAGCTACTGGAGTGAAATTAAATGCAAATGTTAATTCACAAACGAAAAAACTGGAAACTGAGGAAGACATAAAGGAAGAGTCATGGCAAGAAACAGTGCTAGGCTTAGTTTAAAATATCTGTGTACTAATTAATCATTTTGTATATTTTCATATACTAGTAAGAACATTCAACATAAGGAAGAAGTGCAATGAGAAATGGCAAATAAAACAAATTACAAGCAATCTAAAATGGGAATACGAATAGTTATAATTCTGCAAAGGCAGACCAGATGTCTTCACATATATTAAACTGTTTATTCTACTGACTGGAAATCCTTTCATATGCCAGCCAGCTCCCCAAGATTACAATAAAAGCTTGATATATATTCAGTGGAGTTGTACACTTCAGCTTCTGAAGGGAGGAGTTTTAGGGAGCTTGAGGCTACCTGAAGTAAAAAATACAGCAACCAACAAGAACGTATTCCCTTTCGAGCCCCAAACAGCAGTGCATTTTGCAGGTTCTATTCACTCTAAAGTCTGGATTTTCCCTTCTGCTATACTATTGCAATACAGAAATTATAAGGCTTTCAGCTTCTTGCAACTTCAAAACAACTCCTCCTCCTTGTCCTCTCCCAAACCTTTAAATCCTTCTCTGGCTCATCAGCATTAAGACATGTGGACTGATAAGTCACTTCTCACACTCTATATTCAGCTTTTCACAGTGGCCAAAATCACATTTTATTTAGACTTATGCAAGAGCCAATAGCATTCTGCTCCATCTAAGGACAGCTTTACCAGCGCTAGGAATGCATCAGGTCAAAGTGGCCGTAAAAGACCAACCATTTCTCAGATTGGTGTGTTTCTAAAATTCTTCTAATTCCAATGACAGCACTCCTCTTTTAGCTAGTGAAAATGAAAAACACAGTGTCAAATGTTTTTTGTAACTCAGTTACCACACTCAGAAAAGAACTGGTAATTTCCAGGGGGAAAAAAACCCCAAAAAACTGATCTAAATGTTAACTCTAAATTAGATCTACTTATACTATGCCTGGCTTCTACAAAGGTGCAGAGCGCGCTGCACTGCTCAAGTGGGAGACCTGCCAAAACCACCAAGCTGGGATGAGGAGGAGAAAACTGGCCTTCACCCTTCTTCACTGGAGGAAATTAAACGCTTACTACTAGGTCCTCTGAACTTTGACTCATGCTCAGGTCTTCCTTCTCACCCAGTTAATTCATGTGTATTCCAAGTAAAGGGAAACACCACCAACAGGAAGGTGGTTGGCGACAGTACTTGTCCCGAGAGATGCTATTCACGTGAAACAGAAATTGCAAACAGTTTTCAACATTTCCAGTACGCATGCTGATCGCCAGCACGTTCCATTAAAGGGTACTGCATGACCCTCAAGCAAGGGATGATACAAGTGGCTCCAGCCCATGGGGTGACATGGTAGAAGCTCGGAAGGATTAGCCATTATTCAGCTGTGTCTGTGGTTGTGCAAACTAAGAAAAAAGGTGACCTCCCAGGAGAATTTCCCCATCACAGCTTCAGTGCCCACAGCAGAGCTTACCTTTTGCCTCAGCACCTTGGGCTTAGGCTAGTATTTTCACCAGCACCAGTGGCAGTGCAATATTGGGTTTCTGACATGAGCCCAGAGAATTAAAGGACTCCTGAAACCCAGACGAACTGGATCTCACCTTGCAGGAACAAACGGAGCATCTGTCCTCCTTCAGGGTCCACACCTGCCCGTTCCGCTTGAAGCCGCCTTCATGGGGACAGTCTCCAGTGCAAGATGGTCCGGACGGACAAAGGCAATCAAACCCTCCTGCCAGGTTCACACAGGCTGAATCGTTCCAACAGGTGTGGGTCTTTAAGGCACACTCATCGATATCTGCAAAACAGCAGAGTTATAATGCTTTGGACTTTTTTTTTTTTCCACGGGGTAAATTTTATTTCTGTATTAAGTAATTACTGCTCATCTGCCTTTCCAGTGGAAGAGGGTGCCTTCTTTCTGATATCTTCCATATTTACTTGCTAGATATTAAACACTGATTTTTTTAAGGTTATTCTTCAGTGTTTGTTTCCATTCCACCAAGAATTCCTAAACTATCTCGAGCAAGCTTAATTGTAAATGCTGAGTCTGACATACCTAGTGGAACTATATATCAATAATGAACTGGAACCTTCAAACAAAGGTGTACAGTGATTTTGCAGTGCCTTGAAACCAATGAACAGAGTGACTTTCTGTCAGTTAGACCACTTTCTGTTCTGGATTTTATACCAAAATAGAAGGGCACTATACTTCATAAGTTCCTAGCATTGACATTTCCCATACTAAAAGTGGTCAGTTGTATCCTTTTCCCATTGCTGGAAGGTATAAGTGAATTGGAGGAAAAAAATAGGAAAAAAAAAAAGGAAAAAAAAAAAAAAAAAAGAAGAAGAAGAAAAAAGAGAAAAAAATGAAAGAAATCAGAGGCACCTTATACAGGGAAAAAAAGTCTTAGAACAAAGCTATGCAGGAAAAGTATGATTTAGCAATGACACAAAGAAATAAGTAACAAAAGAAAATCATTATACACCAGAGAAGTGAATTACAGTATCCCATTAAAATTCCTTTTGGAGGGTAAAATATAATTATGCAATATGAATTTATCTAGGGATTCTTTTTTCTTGCTGCAAAAGCCGTGAGATTCTTAAGCACATTGTGAAAAAACAGGTATTTCTTTCAGCAAATAACTTGGGACTATTCTTAAACAATATATTGACAGATTGCCCAGACAAAATACCAGTAAACTGGTGGGTCTCTCTTGTTCCAGCAAGAACACTGAAAACTAAGCAACAGCGGGAGGAAGGCTGGAGAAGAAAATCTTTTAGAAGTATGTGATGGTTTCTATCATGAAAATTGCAGAACGCTAGTATATTAAGTCAGAAATTACAAGTGAGAATCCTCACACCATTTAAAATTACCTAACTGCTAGCATGAAATTTATAACTGTTTAATATTACTCAAGAGCACTTTTAATTCCTTTCTAAAATGACAAATTTAAAAATTCAATAAAATTTACAAAGAAAATTACCTAAAGTCTAATTTAGGTGGGATGTGACAGCTAGTTGCCCTACTTTTTGGACGACTGCCGTGGGTTCACAAGCCATCTCCTCAGAAAGCCAGAAGTTCAAAATTCTCTGCATCTGCCGAAGGAAACTCTCTAAAACAATCAAATCACTAAATTCCCTCTGACCTGGTTAGTAAAATTTCCGGTTTCAATTCAAAAACTTGTTCCAGGAACAAGTGGAAAGGTGGTAGTGCCCTTGGATTTGAGCAAAAGCAAAATCAGCGTGCGCGACTGAGTCAGGGGCCTGGGCTGCCAGAGAACGGCTGTTCTTTCTGATGATAGACCCCGAGGGAAGCTGGAGGCCGTTACACTGCAGAAGAGCTTCACTCCTGGGCTAACCTGCGGGCCAATCCTTCGTCAGAGAGGTTCCCAGTGGCCTGATAGCACGGTTCGATTGCTTGCCGCTCAGATTTTCCTGAAAATGGTGTATTTTGCTGCCCTGACAGTCCTAATTGCCCCAAAGTAACATTACTGCCCCACTGCATAGCTTATCACTGCTGAGCACTTGAAAGGTCCACTGTCAGTGGTGTAAAAGGTGCTGCACTAAGAGAAATTAAAACTTGTAGCTCATTGTTCAACAAGCGCCAGAGTATCACAGAAGGTAAAAACCATGAAGAGTGACATGAAGGGAGCTATGAATGAACTGGTATGAAATGAATTATACCCAAACGGCTACTGTTAGACTTAAAATATTATTAAAAATATCCCATTTTCCTTTCAATAGACTTTGACTTGTATTTTATGTTGAAGACAAAGGTATAAATGAAGCCTTCGCTTTGTCTTTGGTGATTTCACCAAGCATCATCAATACCCTCTTCCCCACCACATTAAGGGCTCCTTGAATAGCTTATATATATATATAGGATGCAGCGGGATCACAGTGTAGATTAGAAGGATAGCTTTCATAGTTCAGAACTAAAGGGATTTCACAGATTAATATAAAGCCATACTGCCTACAGAGTTCCATGTAATTGCTTTACTTATGACACAGAAATTTAATTCTGTTTCCATGTAATTTAACAGATTTATGGAAAGCCAGATGTTAGCAATTATAGAAACTAACATTATTCATATTCTCAGTAGTACAGACCTGTTCCCACTGTTATACATATCCAAAAGGGAAGAACACCCTATTTACGTACTGCTATTGCTGTTCGCCATTTAGCACACATAAAAAGGATGTTCCCATTAAGAGCAGCCCAAACTGGTAAATGGGACATTCTTGACAAAGAAACCAATCAAGCAAAGCTGAATAACATAGCGTGAACATAAATTCCTAATTGCTACTCAGTTTGCTCATTTTTTTTTTCGTTCTTTATGCAAATGATGGTTTCTTATTATTTTATGGCATTTATTATTTAAAAGTTTTAGTCATTAATCAAATATAAAAGGCTTGGACACTGCATTCATTTCCAGCTGAACTTTTAATAGAGCTAATTTTCTGAGAACATCCCTTTGGCAGTTTTTTCTTGTCGCTGATTGCATTTCTAAAAATCAGAACAAACAGCCAACGTTCCCAGTAACTTGAGGAAAAGAAGTTATAAGCGTAACATGTTTTTGTCCCTTTCACTCTTTCAGCTTCAAACCAGATTGGGGGATGGAGGAGCGGGGAAGGAAAAAACCCCAGACAAATGCTCCCACATTGTTAGCTCAAGAAAGTATTTCAGTTTAAAGGAAATCAAATGGACTTGCTCGTATGGACATGAGATCAGCATGTAGATGGCTATGCAAAACATGGAAGAAAGTACTCATATTTAGTGTGAAATTTCTCTTAGCAACAGGAATCAATGTGTCTATTTAGGTGTTGAAAAATTAGCCTAGTTTAAAATTCTGAACATGTCCAAAACAATCTTCTAATGAATATGAAAATTGTACGATAAGACTCTTGCATATAGATTATTTTTATATTATTCAAATTCTTGCTCAGCTCAAATTTCCCACACTCCCCTCAGGTTTCGTTTGCTTTTCCACAACTGCTCTCAGAAGATGCAGGCCCAAAACTAGAACATTTAATGATGGGCAAGGCAAAACCGTACACAAATCTTATTTCCCATTATAACAACACTAGGCAGGAAGGAGATGAAACAGTCATTTATAAATCAAGCAACTTTTAAGAACAACGGACAAATACATATGTGAAATAGCAAGGAGACTCCAT